TAACTATTAATAATTACATCTGGAAAGACCCTACTTCCAAATAAGGTCATATTCTGAGGTTCCAGGTGAACATGAATTTCGAGGGTGCACTACTCAACCCAGTCAGTACAGCTGGGTTCATGAATCATAATTAAGATTTCATGAAGTTTGCTGGGTGCAGTGGCTTATGCCTGTATCCCAGCACTTTGTGAGGCCGATGCAGTAGAATCACTTGAGACCAGGTGTTCAAGAACAGCCTGGGCCGGGCGTGGTGGCTCATGCCTGTAATCCTAGCACTCTGAGAGGCCAAGGTAGGTGGATTGCTTGAAGTCAGGAGTTCGAGAGCAGCCTGAGCAAGAGTGAGACCCCGTTTCTACTTAATAGAAAGTAGTTATCTGGACAACTAAAAATATATATATAGAAAAAATTAGCCGGGCATGGTGGCGCATGCCTGTAGTCCCAGCTACTCGGAAGGCTGAGGCAGGAGGATCGCCTGAGCCCAGGAGTTTGAGGTTGCTGTGAGCTAGGCTGACGCCACGGCACTCGATCAAAAAAAAAAAAAAAAAAGAGCAAAGAATGAAGCAGATGTTCAGAGGGAAGTAGGAGTAGAATGTGTCTTTCAGTTCTTATTTGATTCCCTTCTTGAGGCCTAGCTGTAATTTTACTCTTGGGTACCATGAGGCACCTCTGTAATCGTTTATATATATACCTATATAGTTTTTTTCTTGCTTAAGCTAGCTTGCTAGTTTCCTTTGTTCCTTGCAACCAAAGAGAACTAACAGCAGTAATGGTAATAATATTAACGATAGTATTCAACATTTATTCAGCCCAGTACTATGTGCCAGGCACTGTGCTACGCACTCTAGGTACTTTATCTCAGAAGATACAGATTTTGTCTGTCATATTTTAAAAATGCATTTACTTTCCCATTTTAAACATTTTTTTAATCACTTTTTTCTGAACCATCTTTTTTTGGAAGTTTGAAAAGCACATGAAAGCATAAAGTAAGAGAAAAGCATTTTCCATAATCCTATTGCCAGGAGACAACAGTTAACATTTTTCTCTTTACTTAAAAAAATTCACGGTCCAGCGAGGTGGCTCACGCCTGTAATCCTAGCACTCTGGGAGGCTGAAGTGGGAGGATTGTTTGAGCCCAGGAGTTCTAGACCAGCCTGAGCAAGAGCGAGACCCGTCTCTACTAAAAATAGAAAAAATTAGCCGGGCGTGGTGGCGCCACCTTTAGTCCCAGCTACGTGGGAGGCTGAGGCAGGGGGATCGCTTGAGCCCGGGAGTTGGAGGTTGCTGTGAGCTAGGCTGACGCCACGGCACTCTAGCCCGGGCATCAGAGTGAGACTCTGTCTAAAAAAAAAAGAATTCATGACTCCCTACCACCACTTCGATCTCATTCTGTCTTTTATTTAGACTCTGCTTTCCAAACTAGTAAGTTAAGATAGCACAAATACATGAAAATATAGTAATAACACAAGAAAACTTCAAATTTCTTGTTGAATTGAGAGACAGTATCTCTTCTTCATCCTCAACATTTAGTGTAGACACTGCCAGACAGTAAATGCCAAGTGGATGACTGTATCAAAACCCAATTTAATAGACGCATTTTTTTTCTCCAAGTGAAACCTATTTTTAATGGATTCTCTCCCCATTGTATTAAAAAAATACATATAGAGATGAAACTATTAATAACTTCCATGCAAAGTTCTAGCCTCTGCTCACATTTGGCTCAATCAATCTCTGATTCTGTACCTACAGTTTTGCAAACCTCAAGTGTCTTCCAGAATGACAATCCTGAGGCAGCGGGGTGTGTTCAAACACCAAAGATCCCCATTGTGTTCACCATCCTGTGCTTTCTAAAGACTGGAAAAAGAACTGGTGTAGTCTAGAAATATTTCCAAAAGAGTGGAAAGAAGAGGAGTTTTCTGGTTAAGTTTCAATTTATCAAAAAATTCAATTTACAGGAAACTTTCTCTACCCTGAAAATTATGATAAATGTCAGTTATGATTAAAAGGTGAAATAGTCCTTGTTAAATTTCCTGCAGACTCTGCTTAATTCTTGTTAGTCTCTGGACAAGTTTCTGCATAACTGAACTCTGAAGAGTTTTTCCAAAACAGTATTTACCTAGGTAGCCCACATTCCAGGAACTATTCAGTTTCTGGAATTACTTGGAAAAATTCAGAAGGCAAAAGTTGCATATATTCTTGGCACATTCCTTGGACAAGTCAAACAGTGCTGGCTACTGATTCTAAAATGGTTACATTTCCAGTCAAAGTAGAAATCTGAAGTTTAAGTACTTATTCTTATAATCTATTAGTTATTATTATAATGACATTTGATTGGTT